AAAAATTTTATTCAATATTCAAATGTATAAGAAGTTTGTGTATCCTAGAAATTTCCCAATATCCTGTTGAAATACCAAAGTTTTGAAATAATCATGTTCGATTTTTGAATGATTCTTTTACCCGCACTTTAGAACTTAGTTCGGTTTGACTTTCTCTCTACGAAGGATAGAAATATAGATATACCGTCCCCCAAAATCGGAAATATCAGATATGAATTTTCCATAGGATTTTTTATTTATGAGAATCTTTCCATTTGGTAATTATTCTGTGAAACCATTAAATAATTTCATGAAACATCGGGTTAAATAATGCATGGTAATTGATTTGATCTTAATGGTTATTTAATATGACCGGTAAATTATTGAAGATTGCAAATTCTTCATCAATCCTTAATTGTGGCTGGGGAGAGGACATCCTGTAGAGTTGGTTACTCTTGTCTTACTAGAGATAGGTGCCGGTGAGAAATCTCTGCTATGATGGATTCTCTTCACCTTCAAGAATGGCTCAAACATATCAAGTGCGAGATCAAAACTGCATTCCTCTTCTGAGGATAGTTACTTTGATGGCCTCCCAATATGATAAAATATTAGCGGGTTTTCTGAGGTACAAGCTAACTCTGGATTTTTAATTTAATGAGCGTATTTGGTTTTTCAATTAAATGCCTCGATAATTTATCGAAATATCTGCATTTTTTTCTGGCTTAATTCAGGCACTTAAGCTCTTCTTGTAGAATATATGATAAATGCGTAGATATTTTAAAATTACACTAGACATAATCGTATCGAATTCGTCCTACTAAATAGTTGGTAGTAATTCTTCTTGAACCGCGTGTCAAAGGCATCTTTGTCTATATGGCTTAATATATATTTCAAGATGTTTAATATCATGACACAATTTTAGCTTCCCAATTGCCAAAATTTACCTTAATTCTTGCAAAAATTATGGCTTTTAAAAAATTTCTAATGAATATATATATAGATTAAATTTTTCCTGGTGGATAAATTTTTTATTTATAAAAGAATGTTTACCTCTCTCACCAAAAAATGGCGCAAAAACTAAGCGCCATCTATTGACTGGCATATCCTGACCGCTAACATGAATATTTTAGATGGCAGAGCGCAATCTAGTGAAACAAAATCAACTAAACGTTGATATAACTTTTTTGTGATTGTGGCCTACCCATTTTCTTGATAAATCAAGAAAACCCAACTAGGTACGCGTTCCGGGCTGTTGGCCCTCGTCTCAGCTATATATATATAAATGAATGTTTGTATGTTTGTCTGTTGGTCTGTATGCACGGTATACAAATTCGCAGTAGTTCACTAATTCAAACCAAAATTTCCATACATAGGTAAAAAATAACGGGGATGACGACAGGCTATTTTAAAAAATATAAAAATCAATTATTAAAACTATATATTCAAATTATTCTACTTAGCTCACGAGCAGCGCCCTCTAGAACGCGGGCGATCTGACGGCGGCGCGCGCCCATTGGCTGCCGGCAAGCACGTGACTTCCCTGCCCCCGGCCCCCCCCCCCCCCTCCGAGAAAATGTAATCGTCCGGCTGCCGGCCGGTTGGACAGTCAAAGTTCCCACCGACCAATCAGAGGGATCACGAGGTCCTGGCGCACGGGGGCAGAGTTGGTGACACAGAAAAAAACCTCGCGGGTGACCTCCGGGAACTACGTCCATCTTCCATATGTAATATACATTTAATCGTGTAAACCCGGGCGTTGCCCGGGTCATTCGTCTAGTATATATTAAAAATAAAGAAGGCATCTCCTGACCACGAGCACATGTGCTTTTTAGATGGCAGAGCGCCATCTAGTTGAGCAAAAATAAACAAAACGTTTATTTAGCTTGCTCCGTGATATTTGGCCAACCCAATTTCTTGATAAATCAAGAAAAGCCACCCAAGAACGCGTTTCGCGCTGTTGGCGCTCGTCAGCGTGGAGTAGGCTGTAACCACTGCGACCAAAAATATTTTTTGGTCCCAATGGCTTCCCGAGAAATCAAGAAATGGGTATTTAAGGCCAAATTTGCGTAGAGACGCTTAACACATGAAAAAAACATTTTTTAAAAATATTATTTTATATTTATCTTTTTTTTTCTTTCGTTTTTTAATATATATATATCGAAAATTTTCCGGGAGGATATTGATCTAAAGAGACAAATGTCGCCTCTCCCGTCAAAATAGACGTCAAAACTAGACGCCATCTATTGACCGTCACCGCAAACTAGCGGCCTCGGGTCGGTGAATTTTAGCCATAGATTTGGCCCAGCCACTTTACCAGCTAAACACCTCTTTGGCAGATTGTCAAAATTCCATTAGATCCCGTCTGGATCTCATGGAATAAAGTCCGCCTTAGGCTGACGAGGGCCATTAGCCCGAAACCATGGTCTCTAGGTGGACGCTTTTCAGTTTGCCAAAGCTGGTGTTGTGGCTTTGTCACCGACCCGAGGCCGCTAGTTTGCGGTGACGGTCAATAGATGGCGTCTAGTTTTGACGTCTATTTTGACGGGAGAGGCAACCTTTGTCTCTTCATATATATATTTAAAAATGCCTATTTTGGATCATAAAGTTTTTATTTCCGATATTTCGTGAGGCAACTCGCCAAACTTCCTCAGGGAACAAAATCGCTTTAGAGAAGCTCGCGTATCAATTCGCGAGTATATACAACCGCTATAAAATTTAAATATCTAGAATCTACAATATGCATGCCTATGAATATAATTATTAATAATAATATAATATGTAAAACATTAATATATAGAGAAATAAGTAAATATATACATTTAAAATAAACGAATTGAAAATCAGCAATTTGCCATATACGAGTATATACATATATTACATATATACGTGTATAGTAGTGGGCTATATGGTTTTAAATTGTAAGTATAGTTGAGGAATGTCTATTTTTCGGTTGATACTGTTTTTATCTTCTATTGAGGTCCAGCTTTCTAGAAAAAGTCTTGAATGTTTGATATTTTGATATACTATTCCTGTTGAGTCGAAATTTGGTATGTGGTCCTGTTTCAGTGCGTGGTCTACTAAAAGGGAAAGAGGGCTATAGTTTTTAAGGGCTGTCCGGTGTTGATTGGTTCTTTCTTCCAGAGTTTTTCCTGTCTCTCCTATGTACGTAGCTGGGCAAGATCGGCACGGGATTCTGTAGATGAGGTTGGATTTTTGACTGTTGTTTGTGTTATGTTTGGTATTGGGATGGCGGAGAAGTGTTTTTAAGTTGGATGGTGTCTGATATATGGTATTGATGTTATATTTCTTGAGGGTTCTGCTGATTCTTTCAATGCCGTAGCTGTACGGAAGTGTGCAGTATAATTTCTGAGATTGGCTATTAGAAGGAGGGATGAATGTTGATCTGTGGAATTGTCTTTTGATAAATTCTGTGGGATAACTATTGCTTTGTAATTCATTCATTAGTATTGTTCTTTCTTGTTGTGCTTTTGCTAGATTATTGGAGCAATGAGTAGATATTATTTTTGAGAGGGTTTTTATAACAGATATTTTATGGTTAATAGGACCGAATGAGCTGAAATTTAAGTAACCACCTGTGTGAGTTTTCTTACGGTAAATGCCTGTTTCTATTTTAGAGCTGTTTCTAGTGAGAATTATATCTAAGAATGATAAAGAGTTTTTTTTTCTATTTAATGTGTAAATGTGAGAAATGGTGTTATATTGTTCAAGAAATTCAGAATGCTTGTTGTACTGTTGTTTTCGGTTATGCAAAAAATATAGTCAATATATCTCTTCCAGAATGTAATTTTTAGCTGCTTATTATCTATTATTGATTGGTCAATATTATTCATGAAAATGTTTGCCAGAGCTGAAGATATTGGGTTGCCCATCGGGAGGCCTTTGATCTGTTTGAAGTATTGATTCTTGTAGTTAAAGTAGCTGAGGGCTTCCTTTGGTATAGATGATGGTAGGTTGGGGTGGGCATTCAAGAATTCTGAAATGTCTGCAATAGCTTCTTCATCATGTGGGATTGAGGTATACAGTGATTCTACATCAAAGGAGACCAGGCGACTGTTCTTCGTTATTTGAGTTCTTGAAATTATTTATATTGCTGCTGTGGAGTTGGGAATAGTATGAAGTAATTCTTTCTGAAAAGGTGAAATTATCGAGGAAAGGTATTTCGACAAGGGGTATATGGGGGTGCCGGCGTAGGATACAATGGGGCGTAGAGGGCTGTTTTGCTTGTATACCTTTGGTAGGCCATAAAATATAGGCAAGTTAGTGTTTGCTGCTTTTAGTTTGTCGAATGTTTTGCTATCCAATTTATAATTACGTTTTATTTTGTTCAATTGTCTATTGAACTCTTTGATTATGTTCGCTAGGGGGTTATTAGGTAACAGTTCATATACATTTTGATCTTCAAATATATATATATGAAGAAAAGAAAAAAAATAGAAAAGGTCAGCTCTTAATATTAAAAAACGAAATAGGCATATCAGGAAGCCTCTTGGGCTAAATTTTTAGTCGTTTAGGTACAGACAGCGCCACGCGTTCGTGGTTGGCTTTTCTTGTTTTATCAAGAAATAGGTTGGCCAAATATTATTAAACAAGCCTAAATTAACGTTTAGTATATATTAGTTCTACTAGATTGCGCTTTGTCTTCTAAAATATTAATGTGAGCGGTCAGGATATGCTTATTTTTTTATATATATAATTGTTTTATAATGAAATCAATTCCTATCTTTATTGTCTCACGAAAGAATACAGGAATCACATTATAAAATATTGATGGTCACCACCAATAAAATGACATCGGTTTATAGTAGCCTCGCAGTTTTACAGTCGATCTGCAGAGTGGTTAACGCTGTATAATAGAATATATAATATTTATGATATAGTAGCGTCTTCCGAGTTACCCAGAGACAGAGGGAAGGATGCTTTATTTCAAATTGAAAATTATTTTCCCTCATTTTTGAAATCGACAATATTGTAGTATATATATATATATATAAAGTAACTAGAGTCTTGAACAATCGGTGTTCCCAAATGGCCACCCTCCCAAATAGTGACCGGCCCTGACGTTGTTTAACTTCGGTAATCAAATGAGAACCGTTGTTCCAATGTTCTATGACTATAGCACTGTTTATAATTGAATATTTGATTAAAAAGGTGTTCTAGGCTGTTTATATAATGTTAAGAAGTTATAAAAACGAATTATTATTATTTTTTTCTTTCCTAATAAAGCGAAATATCGATAAAATAATCCCTTGAATTAATATTAAAATAAAAACATAAAGCCTCCAGGGAAAAGTTTATTTTAAAAATATTTTTTATTTAGAAAATATCTCGAGCTTTCGGGCAAGTAAGCCCTTCTACGGGAGAAAATGCTTTACATGATTAACACGCCAATAAAATATGATTTAAAATTAAATAAAGTCCATTCACTTTTTACATTTGTTTTAAGGCATGATCAACGCGGGCTTCTGTTGCGCGTGCTTCACTTGGGGGTTATGGGCTGGGCTCAGGGAATATAATGTTATAAATTTCCGGAATATCTATTTTTTTTAAAAGCGCGAATGTGTTTCTTTTATACATAAAACGAACTTCTACTGTCCTTACTGCGATGAAAAAATATATTGGGAGGGCTTGGCTCATCAGTGGTGAACCCTCCCAGCGGTTTCGCCAATTTAATCCACCAGACCGCTTCTCAGAGCTCTAATACTGTATTGGATCATTCTGCTTCTATATGCTACACTGAAGGATGGAATCTTAGAAATAGTTTTCAAGTAAACTATGGACATAAGCTTATAGGACAGTAGAATTACATTCAAATACTGTCCTATAAGCTTATGTCCATAGTTTACTTGAAAACCATTTCTAAGATTCCATCCTTCAGTGTAGCATATAAAAGCAGAATGATCCAATACAGTATTAGAGCTCTGAGTAGCGGTCTGGAGGATTAAATTGGCGAAACCGCTGGGAGGGTTCACCACTGATGAGCCAAGCCCTCCCAATATATTTTTTCATCGCAGTAAGGACAGTAGAAGTTCGTTTTATGTATAAAAGAAACATTCGCGCTTTTAAATCCTTTTATTTTATATATATAGATGGCGCGTTATTGCTTTGTGTTAATCTATTCTTTTGTTAATGCTATTGCGCTTCCTGGGTATGATGGATTCTATTATAAGTCTCTGTAGTCTATTGGGGAGGTTGGAGTAATGGGTCTTTGGTTCTGATAGGGAGAAGGAATGGCCCGTTTCTCTTATATGTTGATATACTAAAGATATACTGTCTTAATTATAGATATTTCGTTTATGTTCTGAAACTCTTATATTTAAATGTCTGCTAGTTTCGCCGACATATTTGGTTTTGCATTCGTTGCATTCTATGGAGAATATGGGATTCTTAATATTGGAAGGATAATCAATGGTATTGTCCTTTGTTATGGGGTTTCTTAGTAACGAATTTAAATTGATGAGTTTCTGAAAAAGGTTTTGATTCCAAATTTCTTCAGATGACGGGCTATAGAAACAGATACTGGTGAATAGGGAATACTGCTAATAGATTTATAGATTGGTGAACTCCGAATTTCAGAGGGGCTATATATATAATAGAATCCATCATATTCAGAAAGCACAATAGCATTAACAGAAGAATAGAAATTCCGGAAATTTATAACATTATATTCCCTGAGCCCAGCCCATAACCCCAAGCACGCGCAACAAAAGCCCGCGTTGATCATGCCTTAAAACAAATGTAAACACAGTGAATGGACTTTATTTGATTTTAAATCATATTTTATTGGCGTGTTAATCATGTAAAGCATTTTTTCCCGTAGAAGGGCTTACTTGCCCGAAAGCTCGAGATATTTTTTAAATAAAAAATATTTTTAAAAGAAACTTTTCCCTGGAGGCTTTAAGTTTTTATTTTAAAGCGAAATATCGTTTTGAAAAAAAAAATAAAAAGTGAAATATATGAAAGACAAAGAAAAAATAAAGAAAACGAGTCGTATATGGAATTTAAAACATATAATAAAAGATATCTGTTGGGTTTTATGTTGTATAAAATGTTTTAATACCATATTTCTTAACATTGTTAGTTACACAAGATTCCTTTATTGCCAAGTCACACGACAAATATCCTACAAAGCAAAAGGCATACCTTTTGGCATTAGAATAGCCCACAGGAAATTAGCTTAAAAGGTTTTCTATTCAAAAATATGATTTATTTCTTGTTTGAACTGCGTGAAAACACTGTTTTGAAAATAAAAATGGAAACTTTATAATTTAAAACTGTAGAGATTATATTTATTTTTGATTTTGAAGAGTAACCATAGAAATCATATATATGAATTAGAAACTACACCGTTAAAAAGGTCAGCAATAAATTGCCTTTATTAAAATAACCTCATCGTTAAATAGTTTTATCGTCATTTTTCCCAAAACTTCTAACAAATTTTCAAAAGTAAATCACTATTCACATAAATAAGTTTTTATGACACACATGGTTGTATACAAAATAACATCATATAATGTATATTCAAGCTATGCATAGAACAATACCTACTTAAAAGAAACAGATATAAGATATATAGGAGGTTTTTAAAACTCTCAATAAATCAAGCTTAGTGGGATACGTGATTGGTCAGAAGGCCACTTGATAAGATTGTGCATCAGCCAATTGGCGTAATGCCTTGAATTAATGTAACACAGACAGAGGTGGGGTGGGGACATGGCCAATAAAACACCATATCTGGCTCTGTTTCTGGACATGGCGGCGATGGATTGGTGGAACACTTTTATGACGTCATAAACATTTATGATGGTTTTAAAATTTAAGTTGTATAATTAAGTTATGGAGCGCCATTGTGTTCTGTCCTTCTAGGGACGTCCTGATGCCATAGAGAACGGCCGGTACATACGATGGCCACTGTGGCCTACTGTAGGGACACCTTATAGTCACCTTAGTATGATTAGGGAATCTGAATTGAGAATATAGGATGTTATTCTGGTAAACGGCAAGTACGTACGATGGCTACCATGGCCTATTGAAGGGAACGTTACAGTCACCTTGTTATGATTAGGTCACCTGAATTAAGAGTATAGGGATGTTCTTCTGGAAAACGGCCGGTACATACGATGACCACCGTGGCCTACAGATGGCATACCTTATAGTCACCTTGGTATGATTAGGGTATCTGAATTGAGGATATAGGGATGTTCTTATAGGAAACGGCAAGTACATACGATGGTTACCATGGGCTACTGAAGGGAACATTACAGTCACCTTGGTATGATTAGGGAATCTGAATTGAGAATATAAGCGTATTCTTCTAGAGAGAGAGAAAGTAGTAAGTAAAAATGATGGGCACCATGATAAACTGAAGGAAAATCCTACACTTCTTTGGTCTGAATAGGGGAATCTGCATTAAAAATATAGGGGTGTTCTTAAAGGAATAGACAGGCACACATAAGATGGAAACCATAGCCAACTAAAGGAAACCGCTACAGTCAACTTTCATTGGTTTGAATAGCAAAATCTTCCCGGGAATGTAGGCATATTCTTGTTGAAAACGGTAAGTACATACGATAGGCACACGACATGGTTTACTGCATTCACCTTTCAGTTGTATTTTTCATTTGGGGATTCTGTACCTACAAAGTAAGCGTCATATGTTCTAGAAGTACATCCTGTGTCTTAAAGGACAATCTGTAATACGGCGGTCACCATGGTTTACCGAAGTTAAATCTTACAATCACCTTTTTTGGCTCAGGGCTTCTGCTTCAAATAAATATGAATAGATGCGATTTAGCAATTATTTGTAAATATAATTTAAAATCGCCTACACCTAATACTCCCGAAATGCCTCAATATGCATCAATAGCATGTCTCGGAAAGGTTTTAAGCGTATATGGATGTTTTCAGAAAATCACAACTCTATCTAAAGATTAATGACCTTATATATCTACTTAACTCAAAGTACGATGTCCCTGCTTTTGATATTTGAGTCAATATCCAATTATTCAAAGTGCATAAGTATATACAAACTTAAAATTTTACAAGATCAAGACAAGAATTAAAGGTTTGATTTTCTATTAAAAAAAAATAGAGAAAGCCAAATATACATTTATTAAAATTTTCGTATTTTGTATTTCACTTACTATATTCAAATTTAAACAATCTTTAATATGAATGAATTCCTGTTTTCTGTAATTCCTGAAAACGGGGCGCTGTTACAATAGCGATGTCTTGAATCGCGAAGTTACTCTACCACGGTATCCACTTAAATCAACCGCTACTCTGAATGTTTCCAACAATTTTCTAAATTTTATACGCTTTCTTATTTTTCTTGAAACACTATTCATTAATTTGTTACTGTTTAACTATTCATTTTTCCATATACTACAATACTTTTACTTTATGTATAGACTTAAACCAGTTCAACTTCCAACAAATAATGATAACATCGTCTGCCTAACAAATGATATCAGCGATATATTCAGCATATTGTTTAATAATACATTCCATAATAATGGAGGTAATGGTTCACCCTATGGACATCCTTTTCTAATTTATTTACGCAACCGTAATATCTTAGTATGAAAAAATTACCTTAATTATTTATGTATGATTAAATGCTACGTAATAAATTATAATGGGAAAACACCTTATCAATTTTCATTATTTTTATAATTGTTGGCCACCATACGTCATTATATGCGCCTGCAATATCCTTTGTTATCAAATAAGTTAATTTTTTATGGTTCAGTGTAATTTCCGTTATCGTTTCTTGTTCTCTTTTCGTTGATTCAGATTTTGAAAAATCTATGTTGCCTTATGTAAACTGTATTTATTTTCTATATGGTAGTTATTTTGTCTTTGATTATGTTCTCAAAAAAACTTTTTTCAAATTGATGTCAAAGACATTATTCTATAAATTTTACTTGGCTCATAATTTGTTTTACTTCGTTTTGGAATAACCCGACTAATGGAAATTTTCTATTTGTCTGAATAATATTCCGAATTTCAGGATATTTATTGAATATTATATAAAAAATTGCAAAATATTTTATGAAAAAATAATTAAAAATAAATAATTCCTTTTTTTTTAAACAAAAAAGAAGCAAGAATTCAA